AAATAATTAATAATTAAATAATTAAACCTTAATTTTTTAAAATTAAAAAATAATTAAAATTTAGATAAAACTGAGCAAAAAATTATGACTTAAATTGTTTTAATTTTGATCGATTTTCAACAAAATTCGGCGCATTAATATTGTTTTATAATTAATATTATGATCAATTTATAGTAATTAATGTACAATTAATTTATAAATAAACAAATTAATTATAAATAATAATTGATAAGCTTAATAACTCTGGTTTATGTTAATAAAAATATGAATATTTTAAACAAAATACGAAATTATAAATATAACTTTTAAGTAATCCAATTAAAAAGTAAAATTTATATTGTTAGTTGCATATAGATTATATATATATATACAAACTTTTATAGCAATAAAAATAAACATTAAAAACAATATACGTCACGTAACAACAAAATATTTATTATTTTAATAGTAGTACACTTATACATTCCTATAGCACACACACACATACAGACAGACACACACTTGCATAATTATTATTAAAGTCTGAAATAATATTGGAGGGATTACGTGACTGCATAATGTATCATCTGCAACACATATGACGACCGTGACCCGATTACGTTTATCTGCAGAAGGTCACTCGTAGCCCTATTAAATATTCGCACGGTGATGACGGTTTTGGACCCCTCCTTCTCGCGCTTTCTTCGTCACGATGCGTCACAGGTACGTCACAGCACGTGATAAGTATCACGTAAGTGGTGGATAAAATTACACAAATTCCTGCATTCGATTTTTGGCTGTCTGCTCAAAGTCACGTAACTTGTAAAAAAAGAAAAAATATTTTAAAAAATTTAAAAAACTATTACGTATTAAATATTGCAGTTATATATATTAATTATATTAATTAAAATTATAATGTTTATTTTTTAATGGTTGCACTTATTGTAAAGTTTGATTGAATGGCGACAATTTTTTAAGGGTGAAAAAAATTCACTTATAAATTTATAAGTAAATAATTTAATTAAATAACAAATTATACACAATTTATTAATGATTTCTGACGTCATTATTAAAAAATATCCTTAGCTTTTACGTGCGTAGATAGGAAAAATCGACGGTAAACATCCAACACCGTTAGCAAAAGAAAGTAAATAAATTTCCATTTTTAGTGTATCTAGTCATTAAAATAGTGACATAATAGATCTAACATTAGCCGCTTTAGTCTTTCTTTAACATCATCAAATCTAAAAGTGCTTTCCCACTTCGCTTTTGACGTCACTATCCTGCACACTGGTGACGTGGTGTTACGTCGAGAACGACATAGTTACCTAGGTAACAACATACTTGATGACGTTTATATGGATGCGGTAAGATGGTCTATTTTTCGCTCGGTCTCTTTTCTTGCAAACTGCCAAAGGTATAAATAGCTGCGAGTAACAAATATTAGTTCTTCACATCAACTGTCGGTAGCGAACAAGAAGCACAACTTTCACCCTCTCTCTATCTCTGTATTTTAGCTCCACTTTAGTACTTTTAAGCTGCATTTAATATGGATACACGTGCGAGTTTATTAACAATTATGGACGATTGTAATTGGATAGCGTACGATACAGTTACAGTAACAGTCAAGGTAAGTTTTAAGGCAAGAAAAAAATCTGGTATTAACACGGAAAAATGGAGGAAACAAAGAAAAAAAATATAATAATAATTGGAAAAGGAAAGAAAGCATGAATGAAAAATGATCACGATATAACTACTATACTAACAATATATTAAAAATTGACCTTCAGCTATCAAAACTTCCCATTAACACACCCAAAATCCACCCAAAACATTGCATGATTATTTTATAAGCTTATCATTAACACATATTTTTTAAAATGACGTTATTTATAGTTTACTAATTTTCATAGAAAAACTAATAACAAAATAAAATTAATTTGTATATTTTTCCTCTTCTATTTTATTTTTTTAGGGGGGAGAATAATTATAATTTGCGGTATTTAATTTAAGAAAGTAATTTTTAATTATTATTTACTTTTAATTATAATAATTATTTATGACGTCAGATGAGTTCGGTGTGACGTTATAATTGTAATAAGCGTTATTCTTTCAAAGATTTGTTACTAACGCTTCTGTAGAGATTTCATTGAATCGGGTGCACATCTCTATCGATCGATCTAGTTATCTTTAGTGTATGTGTTCCTCGCGTGACGTCACGGCTACCCGGGCTATGATGACATCACGTAGGTGACCGAGCTGTTGGAATTCCCAGTCACGTGACCGGCGTTCTCTTTGAATTTATAGCTTGATCTATTTTAAATCAACGGGATTTTTTTTCCTTCTTCTTCCATTTCCTATTTTTCCCCATTCTTTTTATAGAAATGTACATATATTTTTTAAAATAATAATAGAGAAAAATTATTATTATTTTTAAATTAATAAATAATATAAATAAATTTTCGCTTCAAATAATTAAATGTTTGGAAGATACTCCGTTTGTTTTCCTGTTGTGAACAAGGAAAAAAAATNTGAATTTTTTTACGAAGAATAAAAATTTATTGTTTATAAATAATTAATTTAATAATTAAAAATATTAATATGATAATGTCGAATAGGAAATGCATTAGGAAATATTCTTTCAGGAGTACGCCACTAATATAATTTTCTATATTAATAGAAATGCTAACAAATTAAATATTTACAAAGAAAAGATTTTGAAAAGAAAAAAAATTACTCTTCCTCTAAATAGCTACGTCTAAAAAGAAAAAAAAATTACTTCTCTAGTGACTGAGCATCAGGATTTTGATCTGAAAGAGTGTCAGTAAGATTTCTCCATAAAAGATTCGGATAAATTTATTTAAAATCGAAATTAGAACGATGATAATTAATTTACGATATTAAATATTCTAAAATCGTTCATTTAAATAATTAATTAACATTAAGAATATATATATATATATATTCTTAATGTTAATTAATTATTTAAATGAACGATTTTAGAATATTTAATATCGTAAATTAATTATCATCGTTCTAATTTCGATTTTAAATAAATTTATCCGAATCTTTTATGGAGAAATCTTACTGACACTCTTTCAGATCAAAATCCTGATGCTCAGTCACTAGAGAAGTAATTTTTTTTTCTTTTTAGACGTAGCTATTTAGAGGAAGAGTAATTTTTTTTCTTTTCAAAATCTTTTCTTTGTAAATATTTAATTTGTTAGCATTTCTATTAATATAGAAAATTATATTAGTGGCGTACTCCTGAAAGAATATTTCCTAATGCATTTCCTATTCGACATTATCATATTAATATTTTTAATTATTAAATTAATTATTTATAAACAATAAATTTTTATTCTTCGTAAAAAAATTCACTTTTTTAATACTTAAATTAACAAATTACGATCCTAATTAGGGCATATAAACCTATCGATGCAGTCCTGATTCTGATTTTAGGCACCTAAAACTAGTAAATTGTTTCGTATAATAATTAAATTTACGAGTATTCTTCCCTTAAAATAGGATAATATAAAATAAAACTGGTTGAATTGATCCAATCAACAGCATCCCTACGTATCCATATCTCACACACACACACACACACTAAAACCTGATAATGCACTTCCTGATCTAAATCTAGAAGCAGGCACTCACTTAAGGTGTGTTTGTATGAGTTTCTTAAAACAAAAAAAAAGCACCCTCTTTGCTACTTTTTTACACCTAAAAGAGCTTGATTTGTAGAGATTTGAGTACAGTTTTGAGCCCTATTAACATAAAATCGATTTTTTAAAACACACCAGATTTAAATATTAAAAAAAAGTGGATTTAAACAGATATTTAAAAGTTTAAAAATTAATTTTATTGGCACAAATTATAATGGGATTGGCAATTCTCTAACTCTAGAATCGTGACAATAAGTGAAGCTGTGTGATCCGAACAGATAGGACGAGTTTATGTGACGTCACAGAAATTGTTGTCGATAATTCCGATATCGTCGTCATGACAACTGATACTAGCAAAACGTTTATTAACCTAATATGGTGATTAGAATATTTTACTGGAGTTTATCCAATATAATTTTTTTTTCTTTTTTTCTCACCTTTCTTAATTCTGAACGTGTTCGAATTGGTACGTTATTAGGCTCTTGAGTTTAACATGATTTATCTATAATAGACCAATTTTATACAGAAAAATTGCAGGAGATAAAAATAGCATTACTGCTAAACTAAGTAAGAAAAAAAGAAAAAAAATCGGTATTAATAAAATGCTATTTTTAGCGCAGAAAAATTGATATTTCCTCTTGTTAACTGAAAGAGATGCTAAATTATAATGATTTTAATTAAAAATTAAGCCATTTTTTAAATTTTTTTACACGTCTTAAAGGGTGTAAAGCCGGTTATAAAGGTTTTAAAACTGTTGCACTATTGATATCATAGGAAACAATTGAGATAAGTGTGAGAAAGGAAGTGTTTGACTTCCTTTCCTTAAGTGTTTCTGCTTGTATAAGGGAAAATATCGTAAAGGAGCGTAAATATAGATAAAATATTATTATTATTTACTGTCTTCTATTTTATTTTTTTAGGGGGGAGAATAATTATAATTTGCGGTATTTAATTTAAGAAAGTAATTTTTAATTATTATTTACTTTTAATTATAATAATTATTTNGAAAAATTGCAGGAGATAAAAATAGCATTACTGCTAAACTAAGTAAGAAAAAAAGAAAAAAAATCGGTATTAATAAAATGCTATTTTTAGCGCAGAAAAATTGATATTTCCTCTTGTTAACTGAAAGAGATGCTAAATTATAATGATTTTAATTAAAAATTAAGCCATTTTTTAAATTTTTTTACACGTCTTAAAGGGTGTAAAGCCGGTTATAAAGGTTTTAAAACTGTTGCACTATTGATATCATAGGAAACAATTGAGATAAGTGTGAGAAAGGAAGTGTTTGACTTCCTTTCCTTAAGTGTTTCTGCTTGTATAAGGGAAAATATCGTAAAGGAGCGTAAATATAGATAAAATATTATTATTATTTACTGTATAGATTGGAAACTTTTCGTGTAAACAGTATAGTAACATGTATTATAGACAAAACAATTAATACAACACTCACGAATATTATATATTATCGATCCTCGCCCGCTTCTACGTCACATGCAAAAATATCTGCAACACTTTAATCATTATATCATTCTCGTATGCGTAACATGTTTCGTAAACTATAGAATTATTCATTTATTAACAACGTATAATTGATCCCTTACTGCACACAGCATATACTGTACATATATATTTTTTAATGCATATTATGTATTAAGTGTTAATGCCCGAGCGGTAAAGTTATACCTCAGACGTGACTGTCATCCTGCACATAAGACAAGGACAAAATTTATAGGACACATACTGACCTCGATGACGTATTACATTCTTAACGATGTCATTAGCTCATCAATGAGATGGAAAGAAGGTAGTGGACATTGGTGACGTAGCCGTCTGTGCCACACCTGGCACATACGTTTCTGACGTCAATGACTGCGTCACTGACGTCAGAGGGCCGTGATGTCACGGATACAGATGGAGCTACTGCTGATCCGTAGCCCCTACTACACGTCATCTTGTGGTGACGTCAAAATGAGGTAGTATTTCCATGTCCGGGACTAAAAATGTTCCTTTCTATAGAATTAAATAAATAAATAGGAATAAATATTTAAAAAATTATTTTAATGCCAATCTTTATTTATATATATACCGTATATATATCTACATATGTGTGTATGTGTGTGTATTTATATTTATACATATTACTTTTTTCGATTTTTAAAATTCGCGTCACACTTTCGTGCTAAGCAGCAATATATAAAGGAAAAGAATGAAACACAGGGGTAGAGGGGGAGGAATTTTTATATCTTTTCGTGCAAATTCCGTACATTTAAACGATTTCCGCATTTTAAAATATTTCCGCGAAATTCACCCTGGTACAATATCTCGAATTCAAAACATACTTTCTATTTAATTTATTATTTACAACCTTGAAAATATGCTTTAATTAACAAAGAGAATTTTTCAAAAGTTTATACATTAACATAAATTAGTTTACAATTAAAAATATTATAAGCCTGAAAGAATATTTCCTAATGCATTTCCTATTCGACATTATCATATTAATATTTTTAATTATTAAATTAATTATTTATAAACAATAAATTTTTATTCTTNATGAATGGCACCTCCAGATGGAGTCGGATGAGGATAAGGCATCATCGTAGAATAATAACTAGGCAATCTGGTAGCGTGGGCTTCGTACGCCAAACTATAGTGCATTTTGGAATGAAGAGAATAAAATTGATAGAGCCAACTGTTGGCCCTCATCACAGCCGCTTCTCTTTCACTGAAAACAAATATAAATTTTTAATTGTTTATTTGTGAAAATCCTGTAAACATTACAGTTGCAGTTTAAATATTTTACCTGAGTACTTGATTAGTGCAAACAATAACGGGTTGTTGCGAACTATCGGAACTGTCTTTCACTTGCAAAACTACGTGAACCCAAATCCACTTTCTACTTTGAGATTCCAATCTTATTAGAAGAATACAAGATCTCTCTTGTTCGGATTGCGTAACTAAGAGAAAATAAAAATCAATAAAATTAATTAAAAGTATCAAAGATATTGTTATTTTTAGAATTTTAATTAAAATACAATAAACAATTATTTATTAATAGATATTTGGCAGAGCACCAAATGTGAAGGTCGTCACGATCTTCACGCCGGCTGACACCGACAGAAACAGATTGTATTCTGAACAGGTGATGGAGTTAGTTCTGGTCAAGGGAAGTCAAACTGTCTTTCGACATGCGATAACAACACAATAGATGGAGAGAATCCTTACTGCCAGTTCATAATCTGATAGCAGTGAGTAGTAAATGGATGCAGTAAATAGGCAGTTATTATTCTGTACAGGGGCTCTTTTATTCTTTAAACTTATCCGGACAAAGTTTTTATTATCGCATTCTAAGAATGATTAAAACAATAAAGATATCGACCGCTGTATGCTGCAATTTAGATTAGAGGTTATTCTAACAAATGAAAGATTCAAAGCTAAATTGAATTTTATGGTTTCATCTCACAAAAACTAATTACTTACTTAGTCGATGCTTCGATTGGGCTTCTCTCAAATGATCACAGTGAACCAATTCGTACCACGATAATCCCTGAAGATTTGATTTTCTATATCCTAGATGAAATTCTCCACTGGAAAAGATTTGAAATTAAATAATTAATCTTGTGATATTTTAATTTTTATTTTTATAAATTAAGCTGGAGAAAAAAGTTTGAATGACTTTCATCCATAGGTTCCGGCGATTGTTTAGAGCTATTTTTGATTAGATGGAATTATCCTCTGGAAAAGATTTGAAATTAAATAATTAATCTTGTGATTTTTTAATTTTTATTTTTATAAAAGATTCTAATAATGAGCAGGATCCAGAAATATCGCGAACGTGTTTATCCCACCAATCACTCTTTTGTAAAGAGATTTCTCCGCTTTACGTCATCACTGCAGTTATCCAATGTCAGCTGTTATAGTTCTGACGTCATTGTTAATGTGGATATGTTGACAAACCCTGGACTGCTACTCAAAACTTTACATTGCTTAGCTCAGAAAGTAGGGCAGGTCACTATTACAGACATTATCTAAATTTTTGACTCGCATTTCATTATTTTGCAATCTATTTTTTAATCATTTCACCTCCCCCCCTCTCTCTCTCTCTCTAAAAACTTTTAAAATTATTTTTATTAATTAAAATAACGCATCCTTCCACATTACAGCTTACGTAAGTAGGAAGAATTAGGTCTTATCTTAAGTACGAAGCGCGTTAAAACTATAGAAAAACGCAAGTTCTAAGCTATTTTTACATCGAAAAAGGGGAGGAAAAAAAATATGTTTTAAGGTGTTTTTTCCATTTGAAACAGGTGTAAGTTGGAAAAAAAAAATATTGTACAATCGACTAGAATTGGCACATTCGATCCCGTAGCCAAATGTGGAGAAAAGGATAACCACAGACAGTTTTTATAAATAGTGATGACTATTTTAGTACGACCGTCGCATGCTAAGATTATATATATAGTGTACGTTGAACTGCTATGATAGTTGAAGGAGTATAGCCAAAGAGTTTTTGACTCATACAGATAAATATGATTCATCACACTGTGCAAAATATGCTCTGAATTCCTTTCTCCCTTTTCTTGTCTCTGCTGCAGGTGTAACCACTACATTTTTGTCTCTTTACCAAAAATTATATAGGACAATTACACATTTAAAACCGCATTATTATTATTATTTTATTTTTTTTTTTCCTCAGTCTAGATTCTAGAATATTTAATTTTATTTGTCCTGGACAAAGTTAATGATGTTATAAATATTTTTTTTTATTGCATAAATATAAAAAGTTATTACATGTATATTTTTTACAAATTTATTTACATATTTATATAATAATATATAAGTGTATAGACGTAATTTTTGGGGGTTTGTGAATAAAATTTTATTTTTATTACTTAATATTTTATAAAATAATATAATACTGGGTATAAAATTAAATTTAAGGAATTAAATTTTAATTTTCTTACTTAGAAATGCATATAAATAATATTAAAGTTTCTAAGATGAGAAAGTAAAGAACAGGGTTTAAAATAATTTTAAAAAATAAAATAAAACTAAATAAAATTTTAATATTAAAAAAATTAATCAGAATTAATTTATTTAAAAAAATTTTAAAGACTATTTAAATTACGTTTAAAGGCTGTTACTCGTGACAGAATCAAATTACTGTAGGAGCAATTGTAACTGTTCCAAAGAAATTTAGATATAAATATAAATCTAAAATATTTTTTAAATAATTTAAATTATTAAAAATATTTTAAAGATTGGAAATTTATAAAAAAAGTTAATAAATTAGGAAGAAATTAAGGATTAATTAAAGGAAGATCATTAAGGGTTCAAGAAGGAGCCATTTATGAAAATATAAGGATTTTATAATTGTTTTCAAGACTTAAAAATATATTTTAAATAGTTTAAAAAGTTTAAATTTACTCTCGATATTTTATTTTCTTATTTATTTTTATCGAAATTTTCAAAAAAATGACTAAACATCCGGAATTGCGGATATGAAAAAACCGAAAATGATTTCCTAGTTGTAAATCACTTAACGTTTATTTTGTGTAATTCCACCTACGAATTAATGAAAATACGAAGAAACATCACTTCATACACGGGTTATTCCCGATTCTCAACCTCCCGTTGGGTGAAGGTTAAGAATTATTGTACTCCGCCACAACCTTGGCACGACTCCAGTATACATTTACCTGTCTGTCCAGGTAGAGGAGGTGTACCAACAGTTTTTGAATTGCTTATACACGTTAACTACAAGGAATTTCCCGTCCCGAAGTTATGGATTTTCCGGTATAGATTATAAAGATTGATTGATCGTACCGTTCGATCTGGGGTATATATTCCTGGTCGAGGGTGTGGTTTTCGACCATGATTTGGGGCGAGGCTGAATGCGTTTGGTAATGAAGTCTGACTTTTGATGTTCGACAATGAATAATTTGTTAATTTATAAAGAACGTTTAAATCTGTATAGGTATTTTCCTTTTTTTTAAACTTTTTTCCTCTCTTTTCTTCTCTCCTTCCAACCTCGGAAAGAATATGTGTTTAATTTTAGCACGGATAAGTGAGAAATCAGCGTTAAAGTTGGCACAATTCTTTAATTAAATTACGGCAAGTCGTTGTGTCAAAATGGTGCTGGTTTAGTTTCAAAAATGTATATCCTTCGGCCGATAATTTTTATTATTTTAGTTCGATTTTTATTCTTTTCTGTCTATTGTTATCCTAGTCCATTTATTACGACGCGATTGTTATCATTGATACGATTTCCCCTTCGATTGTTATTATTAATAGAGGAATTGCATTGTTGTAATTCATTTATTTGAATTCCTAATTATTTATTTTAATTGTTCAAAAAAAAATATATATATAACATAAAATGGTAATCGACACCTTCCCCGTCATCTGAATAATCGAGTTGTGAATAGTTCAGAAATTCCAGAAGAGGGCCGGACTCTCACCTTGACGTAAAACCCCGTGCCAACTGGAATGTTCCCAGCAACCAAGTAAGGAAAGCTTCGCCCCTCCCATGATAATCCAGTCACGTCGTCCGTACCAGCTGATTTACAAGCCACATCAAAATTATATGGCCGAGCCCTTGCGTGTTTGATCGATACCGTTGCCCCTGGTTACAGACTGCTGACATTGTGACGTCACAGAGTATGGATATCGGTTATGACGTGAAACGGGCTCCGTCCAATAGGACTAAGAGGTTTGCGACCACTACCAGTTGATTGGTTGGCGAGTGTGTGACAGACTTCGACTTACGTCACAGCCGGCTGCTGACGTCACGGAGAGCCACTTTTCCCCGGGAATACGTTAACAAGAAGCTTGGGTCGAAATATATACACAGACGCGGTGTATTTTGATGTAATAGAAGCAGAGAGTGAAGTTGAGTGAGGACCGGAGACTTGTAGCGGATGTATAGTTTATGTGTCAGCAATCTTTCCGATCTCCAGTGTTATCAGACGGTACCATCGGACACCAAGCTTATACCGAAGTCTCCACATTTACTGGTCGCATCCACAGGTTGGTGTTAGCCACGTGCTATCCAGGTCCACGGCAGAGCAATACGTCAGTGATGTGCTTTATTTGTGAGGGTGTTCGGTAATAATACAGTAAAAATTCGCATGTCGTTAACGAAATTTGGTGGTGCTTACTTTAACGACGGACTTTTTACTTGTCAACAATTGGTTGAAAAAGTGAGTATTTTAAGGCAAATTTTTAATTTTTAGTATATTTTATTTTTTTTCCGCCTTCTTTTTTTAAAAAGAGATCCCCTAAACATCGTAACATTTTTATTTTATTTAATTTTATTTCGCCCTTTAACTTATAAATTCCTTATCTGAAGTGTTGCTCTGCTTTGAACTTTTCGGAAAGGGGGGGTGGTTACTCGTACGTTAATCTCGTTCCGTCTAAGCTAGCATGTGTGATGAACAACCACGATATTAATACGCCGTGTGCTAATTTCCTATAAGTAGATTCTTCCATTGAACCGAATCTGTAGTCGCACGTGTTTTGCTGACGTCACCGGGTTGGGATGTATACGTGTGTCGCGTGACGTCACAGGCGGCTTTGACGTCAAAGGAGGAGAGACTTTTCTAATCGATACAGACGTTGGTGTTCTATTCTTGACGCACGCTAACCACTTTTAGGAAGGTATTACGTTTGTATCCGCTAACTGGATGACGTTGGAAAGCGACCGAAGAGAACGTTTACCTGAGATTTCTACTGACGTCATTTAACCGACGGAAATTTATCTTTGACGATATTTTGTGCTAAGAAAAGAATTTTCCAGCAAAACAAATTACTTCACCTTGATTTACACATCTATTATTAACTACAAAAATCTATTTTTAGCGCATTAGAGATAAGCTAAACATCTATAGATTTTTAGCGCGTTAAGTTTGAAAAATTAGCGATAGAACAGAGGAAATATATATATATATTTTAATTAATATAAATAATACTATGCAATGGGATCTATTAAAAAAATACATTTACTAATCATCAATAATTAACTAAGTTAAAGCGGTTAGTTACGATCTGAAAATCTTCAAATTAATCTTTTCTGGGTGGCTAATGATGTGTGTTTTATATCCCGTAATAATACTAACTAGCATTTCTAATAATAAATTTTATAGCTAGAGAAGTAATATAGGGCTTAAAAAAATCGAATTTCTGTAGCAAAATCTGTAATTTTAAATTAGAAAACGATAACCTTAGAGCTAAGGAGAAAAAGGGGCGAGTTTCCCTGTAAATTATGTTTTCCATCATAGCTCTAAGGTCATGCCGTAGAGCAGACTTCGTTATAGATACGTATAACGGCTAAAGGAGAATGTTTAAAACTAACACTAGCTCAGTGTAGGGGTGCAGGATGAGAAAAATCGCCTTCTGGCGCCTCCTGGCGGCGGCTGGCCGAACTACGCGTGTGTCACGTGAAGGCGGCGTGCGTTTATAGTAAACGATATGTTAGGCTATAATACGCATACTTATTTATGTCAGGTAAATAGGTGACGAATAATCTATCGCACAACATACGACTAACATTAAGGAGTATGGAAATCAAACGGTTTGCATCATTTTGATGGAAGGTAAACATCGGTAAATTACTATCACCAATAGGTGACTAGTATAGGAGAAACATAGGGAGGTATTAACCACTTTTATGGAATTAAAAGTGACTTTTTTAAACTTAATAACAAACTTTTAACGTCTCTGTTAACTTTTACAGTTAAATACAATCGTTATAATTCGATAGTTTCTCGTAATGTTAATGGAGCAAAAGTTATTCGCGAAAAAGTTCTTTTCGGTCTGTAAAAAGGTTAAAGATGCCTTTAAAAATAAAAATATTCGAAATTTTTCTTTATTTTTAATCGAATATTTAAAAAAACACTTTAAAATCATTTATTTTTATAATAATTTTTAATAAGAAATGACGGAAACAAAATGGAAACTTACGAAACTTTTAAATGAAAATAGATTATAAAATAGCAAATTTAATAACGTTAAACACCATTTAACATTAAAAATAGTTATTAAATAATTTTTCTAACTAATGATAACTATCCACATACAATGTATCTTCTTAAAAGTTGTTAACATCATTAAGAAAACGACAATAAAATTCCAAACAAACTTATCCATGAATATATCAAGTTTAGTGCATAAAAAACGCATTAAAATTTAAATCATATGCTTAAATTCACCTTTAAAAAATAACTTTTTGTGATTTCTGATCAATAGCTTATATAACTAAATCATTTGCGAGGGAAATTTATTATACGAATTTTATTTTTCATGTAAATTCAAAGTTTATAATTTGAATTGATGATAAAAATAATAATTTACGGTAATATTAATGCTAGTTTTTCCGTTTGATACGTAAAAGTCGTTAAAAATTTCAATAGAAACATCAAGAATTTATGGATATCTCCTACACTCAACAGAAGATCTATTTAACTTCATAAATGAGACTAAATAAGTGAAAATATAATAATTATGCCCTTAGTAACTTAAAAAAGTTGTATAGATTACAAACATTACTACACTAAGCAGCTTAAGATCAAATCTTGTTTCTACAAGTTAAATGTTCAAGAGCTGATTTCTCAGTCTGATCTTTAGGAAAACAAAATCTTCCACGTAGAAAATATAGAAAATAAGCTTTAGATTCATTTAAAAAAGCCATTTTTATACGTAAATTTGATATATCAAAATTAATGGCAAAAGTCCTGCTTAAATTCTCCTTATTTTAAAGGAGTATAATATGACATTTTAACAAGAAATTTTCGCCATTTTTTTTTGTCAAAGATATACAAATATCGAATCATTTCTGCATATTTAATTAATTATCAAGTTATAATCATTTATAGTATATTAATTATTTGCATGAATATATCTGTTAGCAATTGGATCTGACCCTTCTCCTTTTGATCACTCCATCAAGATTGTATGAAGCATATCTTAAGAAAACTATAAAGTTTAATTACTTTTTTTATAATATTTCTAATCATTTATAACTTAATATAAATTTATAATCATTTAACAATTTTATGAATAATTAAATTTCTTATAAACCTAAGATTGCAGCTTATCAAAAGAAACTTCCTTAGTAAACAGAATACTGATTATAAGTCAGTTTTAACAAGAAATGTGCTGATTAGATCGATCATGTGACTGATCCTAGATTTTCTTTATATAGAAATCGAGCTGTCCGGAATTCCCCCGTCCACCACTTCTTCCGCTAGTGCGGGCTGCGAATCAACAACATCGTCTACAACTTCTGCACCACTTACAACTACAGACACCAAAGTGAGGGGAACTATAGAAGAAGAAGAGGAAGAAGAAAAGTCCGAAACCGCCATGCTTCTTTTACAGCCAACTGAGGTAATTAAAAATCTAGTTTTTAAAGTATATATTTATTAAATATTTCGATTTTATCAACATTTAGTGCAAACAACTAAGTACAGGGAAGTAAACTTACCCAGTTCTCACATATACGGAATTTTCAGTAAATTATCATTAAAATGTTATAAATTTAACGAAATTTTTAAAACTGCGATAGTAAGACAGTTTAAAACATTATTTATAGCTAAAAACCTTCCCATATTTGATCAATAGAATTTAGAATGTTTAAAAAGTTTGCAATTTTTCATGCAATGCTTGAACCAATTCATCGAACTTTTACATGAATTTGCAGTTTGTTTTATTTTGAGCCCTATTTTTATCATTTTAATTATTATTTTGCTTTAAATAATTAAATATATACTTTAAAAACTTATTTATTGATCAGTACAGTACCATATCACATACCAGCTTCGAATATAAACTAAAAAATCTTTAACAGATTGCTCAATATTAGTCAGTTCTTTATTCTACTGACTACCTAAAGCTTTGATTTCTTATAGGGCTATTTATTTATATATTTATCTAAATTTAATTTTTATAAATAATTATTTTCAACATTAAATTTTCTAAATCGATATGAATAATTATAATTGCTATTAGATTTAATTAAATAAAGCAATGATAAAGTTAATTTTTATACTTGAAAACCTTTGAATTATAGTTGAAAATGTAACTAAAAAACACGATAAGATAAGGGTTTAAAGAAAAATACAGTGAACCATCCTTTCAGGCTACGGATATCCCATGTACCTGCAAGAAATTACACATGAAATTAGCACGTATCCGATAAATTATCAGAATTCCAATTTTTAGAAAATTATCAATGTTGTCGGAATTAAAGCTTATTTAACACTGCTTATAAAATTAAATACAACAGAAATATTGAACAGATATATTTATTAGGAATTTATGTATCTATAATAATAATTTTTAAAAATATCTACCGAATTATTCTTTAAAGAAAAAGGGGCGAGTTTCCCTGTAAATTATGTTTTCCATCATAGCTCTAAGGTCATGCCGTAGAGCAGACTTCGTTATAGATACGTATAACGGCATTTATATGTATTAAAATATACAACTTTTATAGATTTTTTTTTTGAACTTATTTTTAACATATTTTATAAACAGGAAACTTTTTTGCATATTGTTAAACTCCTATAAGAGTTAGAAACTCGTGCGAACATGCCTCTCACTCCATTATAAACTACATAAACCCAACTACAAGATGAACCAACAGGTAACAAGAAGAACTATAAGCATTTTTATTTACTTAATTAAATTTTATATTTTTTATCGTATTATAACATAATGTATAAATTTTTAAACATGCATAAACAGCACCGTAGACGACTTATTAGGAGTTATTAAAGCAAATACTCGTATATCCAATACACTATCAGAAACTTTGGAGCGTAGTTGATATACAATGCACACATAACAATTAACCTGTACTCTATTAAATTTTAGATATATTTTCATACTTAAAATACTTTTTATTTACTTATTTGCAGTTGAATTTGCTCGAAAATTACGTAAAAACTACCGAAACTATGCAGTACTTATGGAAGTCATTTTTTATTCTTCATTTCTGCTATTTTTTAAAGTTTTTCAAGTGTTAAATTAACTTGTGCAAAAGTTGAGTTTATAATCATTTCCCCCCAATTAAAAGTTAAATTATAGGAGTTTTTGTATGAAAAATTCCTCCCTTATCTTATATGTTACACATTATTCTTAGGCGCGCGTTATACACGATACACCCTTTTTTACCTTGAATATATTTATATACTAATATATATATTACTGATAAGTATAAAGTTGCATAGTTGATTATTGATGTTTATTTTCATTACAGTCATCGCTTTTCTCTCCTTCGACGAGTATCATAGGGCCGGAATATAGTTTAGCATTGGGTGAAGAAACATTTTCTGCTGAAGAATTCAAATTCCCATCTTTGGACGTTGCCATATCTGCCGAAACGTTCTTATCGACAGAGGGCAGCACAAGCTTTGCCGAAATGTTCCAATCACCCGATTTTGGGACGACAACGGCACAAACCAGCACGGACACGGGATCAACTAGCGCAGCGTGTACAACAACAACAACAATAACGTCAACAACGCTGCCTAGTTTCCAAGAGATATATTCACCGCGTTATAGGAGAGACGTTACTCACACGGGTGTGTTTTCCTTCAAATTCAAAGAGGTACGATCCGAAGAGAGTGAACCCGTTAGCGGTGACACTTACCAGATTAGTATGGGTGCATTCCCCCAAACGTCGACATCGCCGTTTCCCCCTTTCAGCACCACGTCTGGTAGTGAATTTTACAAAGTGGAATGCCCGGAATCGCCGGCTTATATATCCGAAACGTCATTTCTTACGTCGACGTTTCAAGAACAGAGCAGGAAGCCCTCCTATCAAGATATAAGCTTCGGTCAACAGGTAACTTACCCACGTGCAACTTACTCTCAAGGTGAAAGCGGTAGTTTCAGTCTACCCGCTACCCCCTCCGTTACTACGCCGATTGGATCGTTTCCGGAAGTGACGTCACCGCTGTCGGCTCCTTCGACTTCTAGAGGAGGGAGGAGGCCATCTTTGACCATCACCGCTCCACTCTCGACAGAATCAAGGTAATTTTTCTTACTTATTTCTCATTAACAACTCTAAATTATCAATCGTTTAAATTATATACGTCATCGATCTCTCTTGTAGAATATTTTCCAATCGAAAATGTAAATAAATTTCGATAGAAACGATTTTATTTATGCTGTGACGCATCTTGTTTTCGTTTCATTTTTCAATAATTTATTGGATAATTTTCCTCTTTAAATTTGTATAAAGTACCTCTTAAACGGTCGCAAATACGACAGAATTATTATTAAGTCGCGTCGTTATGTATTTTTTCCTCAATAAATTCAAATTGCGGATCTCTCGCTATTATATAACATATGAGCTACAAGCTGTTATATACGCACATAACGAAGGACAAAATTTCATTTAATAATTTCTATTAAAAATTATTATTTTCAACAAATAAAAATATTATTATTATTAACCTTTTGACATTTTATTAGCGTTTAAATATATAAAAGAAATTTTTAAAAACCAATTTTCTTGTAGAAAATAAATTTTGAAAAATTTAACAAGAACCCTTAATCAGTTGAACAGAGAATTTTGATGTTTTCAACAAGTAAACGATTAAAAAAATTTTTTTTTCTAAATTTTCTTCGCTATAAAATACATAAAAACGTTTTAAATGTCAAGCTGAATAAATTCTTTCAAGAGGGAGGAAAAAAAACCTAAAATTATATATTTTTCTATTTAAATATATGAACTATAAACATCAGTTTTTATTTTTAATAATTTAAAAATTTATACAAATTTTATTTATATTTTTTTAAAGTAATTTATTTATTTATTTTTTCATTCTTAACAATAAATTCTAAGAAAATTTATATATACTTTACAATATTTTCACAAATATATTGTAAGAATCATTTATCAAAAGGAGGATTTAACAACATTTATCAGTTTGATAAATGTTTTCAAGTGAAAGGATTTTTATATTATTCGCAAATGAATACATAAGTGCCTTTTATATGAAGGATATGAATCATAGAATAAGAAGTGTAAAACATGTTTTTTGTCACCAGAATAATTATGTGATGATTCATGGTTGGGATTTCTTTGTGTCTGTCTATTTCTAGTGACCATTTTGAGATTTTTTCTGCTTATTCATTCTTTTAATAGTAAATTAAATGAGATTTTAAATATTTGTATATTTATTTATGCTTTAAAAGTATCATTTTAATATATTTTTATTACTTTTTATTTTAATAAAAATTCTACATTTATATATATATATAATTTAAATTTAAAAATATAATTCATTAATATTTTTTATATAAACAATAGAGATTTGATCTTACTATGTCATGTTTCAAAAGATTTATTTCCAAATATAACAAAAAAAAAAAAAAAAAAAA